AGTAGCAGTAGCAGTAGTACCAGTAGCAAAAAGTAGCAACGGTAGAACAGAAGAAGTAGTCGTAGTAGTCGTCGTCGTAGTGGTGGTGGTAGTGGTAGTGGTACTAATAGTGGAAGTGGAAGTGGGAATGGGGGTAGTGGGAGTCGTAGTCGTCGTAGTGGTCGTGGTGGTGGTTGCAGGTAGCATGTCGCAGGTCGCAGATGGTCGGTGCGGGAGTCTGAGTGGTGTGGCCGTGGTCGTGTCGGGGTCGTGACAGTGGCAGTCGTCGTCAAAGTTGCCGAAACCACTTCCCGGGGTTAATTGCCTTTAGCTTTGCTTCTGCCCAGGTGCCTGCGCAGTCTTCCGGCGTTTGCCATTTTCTCTGCGCCGATCGTGGGGGTGGTCGGAGAAGCAATTGCGGGGTTTGCATGGGGGCTTGAGCTTTAAGGGTTTGAGTTTCTGGCTTCGCTTAACGTGCCGGCCTCACCAGGATCTGATTTCGGGCTTTAGCAAGGTCGCCAGTTGCGTGGGATTCAAATTATCACAGGACACGGAAGTATTGTCCAGTTCTTTCACAAGTTATCTGCCCTCACGCACACACTCATCCAAAGTAATTGTGCTCAACTTCGTCGTCGGAGCTTGGCTGAGATATGATGAGACAGGCAGATGCAGTTTGCCATTCAATGGTACACATAGATTATGTCAAACTCTTGTCCCATCGGCAAACAGAGTCTAGGGCGGTTTTCTGTCATTCATGTCTTCCTTCTGCATGAGACCATTTGGTGCTGTTGCTGTGTTTAGCCTCCTGTTTGCAGAATATGCTCCATTTTTTTCGGTTCCGGGGCCCTCACAAAATTACAAACCTATCCCAGCCAGTCGTCTAGGCCACGACATCCCACCCCCGTCGGAGGGTCTGCAGCCCCGCGACTGAAGATAAGGTGGGAATGGCCGAAGCCCTTTTCGTGCTCTCCCTTTCCCATGTGTCTTGGCACAGCCTGCGCTGTTTGTGCTGCCAAAATGTTGGACAGAATCAGCTTCGCAACTGAATGTGATGGATCTGGCCACACGGCGGACAAAGAGCGACTCGCACTGAGAGACTGAGCTGATGGGCTGGAGTAGTGGAAAGAACCATCATGTATCATCATGTGTTGCGGAGTGGGCGTCTCACTTCCTGCGATACTCTGCCTCGCAATCCGACGCAGAGACCTGCCGTGCTGGTTGCTGTGGCTTGCGATTCTGGGGCCAAATGTTAGAACATACGCCAGTGTGGTGTGAGGCTCGTGTGCTGGTTAACTTGCACATACTGGCACGGAGTTTAGGATGAAATATGAGAGATTGGGAGAATCCCATCAGGCCTGCAACTGCTACAACAGTTACGCGCACAGAGTCTACGTACTCCCAAACACACTGGCGTTGGCAGACACTGATGCACAGAACCCTCACTCGAAGCCACTCCCAAAACATCTGAAGGTTCGTCTTCTAGCTTGAGATCGCAGTAGCTGCGCATCGTAATCCTCCAGACTCCAGATCACCTCATCAACCTGCCTGAGCCTGACAGTTACATGATCTTGGAAGTACGGTGACGATTTTCAATATGTGGGGGCCGGGCCACCCGGCAGCCGCTCCGAGGTAGTATGACGTGTCTGTTTTATACTCTCCGCATAGTTTAATTCCATCAATATTCAGAATCATCCACCCTGCCCAGCTCAATCCCTCCAACAGGCCCGCGGATATTTATTCTGTCACGGGCACGAGGGCAGGAAGGCAAAAGGTTGGTCACGGGCAGTTCTTTGGCTCACTCCCCACCCCGGCAGTCCTCTGGTCTTGTCATTTGGTTCACCCGCTCTTGAAGGAAGACGAGCTGGGGAAGGGCTGGAATGGGCTGATGGATCGGAAAGCGAAATGGAGTGGGCTGAAAGGTTGGTCTGCGAGGGCTACTTTTTTTTTAATGGTCGCCAAACTAAAACAAGGTACCGATTTCGTGTTTTGCAGGCCTCTCCAGCCCAAAAAAGGCACCTTGTTTGGTGCGGGGATGGTCGTCAAACAGCAAAGGTTTCTCAAGCCCAGAAAAGGCACCTTTTTTTGGTGCCGGATGGTTGTCAAGCAGCAAAAGGTACTTTTTCGTGTTGTCCAGGCCAGCTTTGCCGCACAGGCCTGGTACCAGGCCACCTTTG